AATGGAAAGTTTGGAGGGCAAATTGGAGAGGGATAGGGTTACCCTGGGAGACCAGAAAGGCAAGCAATAGCCTGCTCACAGCTGCGCCTCTCTTCACTTTCACACAGGCAGCTAATTGGTAATTTTCATCACTCTCTTCGAGGGGATTTGCTGTTTTATATATATCAACACCGAGTTGCTGGTGGAAGAGACCCACAAGCAGCCCCAGGAGATGAGAGGTGGGCCACGGTCAGCCAAGCATGTGAAGAGCAGGCGCTGTGCACCCCAGCAGGATTAGGACCAGCGTCAGGAAGGAGCCGTACACCCCAGAGGGCAGGCAGCAAGCAAAGGGGGCTGATCTTGCCCCAAGGGTACCATTAATACAGGGCTGATAGGCTGCATTCGGCTAGGCAGGCTGCAAGTTACGCAAGACGGCCATAAATGTTAAGGTAGCCATTACCCAAATACACCACTGTGGATGCCTCCACCTTCTCAATCCACGCTTCCAAATAAACACAACAAGCCTAACTGAAATAAGAAACGCTCTGCAATTTCTGTTTGTGTCATGATGAGGAATTGTGGGGAGGGCTTCAATACTTTATACATCCCATCTGAAAAGGTAGCGGGAGCATAGCTGTCAACTTTTCCCTTTTCTTGCGAGGAATCCTATTCGGAATAAGGGAATTTGACAGCTATGTATGGGGGGGGGAGGCAGAGAGCAGGAGACAGAAACGTTCGCTTGCTGTTCCAAGGGGCACGTGCCCCACTCAGTATCTGAACACAGCAAGTTCCTTCGATGTCAACAGAAAATGTCCCATTCGTCCTAACAGCAGTCAGTCAACAGAGAGAGACCACTGAACACTTGCCTGGTCAAATTCAGCAAGGCAAAGACCTACAAAACTATAACGCACACTTCCCACCCTTGGGGTTTTTCGTTTCTATTTATATGCGCTCAATTCCTGGAGTTAGTGGGCTGCTGCAGACCAGATGCCTGGAGGAAGGGGGTGGAGGGGAGGAAGCAGCGCTGAATGATTTAAGGCACCCTCTGCCCCTGACGGACCCGTCCCACGGCTGCCAAGAGCGTCACCTGTTGGTATTCTGGAGCATGAGAAAACACCCAGGAATGAGCAGAATCCCGGGAGCCCGCGGCCCCCTCACTACCAACTGCAGTAAGAAAGAACCTGCTAATGACTCCTCACTTGGTACAGGGATTAGATCATCGCTCAAATTGTATTCCCAAGGAATGGAGCGGCCACATTCCCAGGAAACGTAACACTCTTTCCAGGGAGCGAAGGGCCAGGGAGGCCCAGGCTGCAGGCACAGCAGGCAGCGGAGGCAAGGGGGAAGGAGGCACACGCCCAGCAGTGGCCCGGAAGCCCTCGCAGCTGCTGGGCTGCTTTGGCTCAGGGCACCCGACACGGCAGGAGCAGAGAAGGGGCAGGCGCACCATCGAAACAGGGCTTCTCAACAGAGCCAGCTGGAGAGGGCTGGCTGGCAGGCTGGCTGTTATTCATTCGCTATTTATTCAATTTATATACACTTGTACCTTGGAAGTCGAACGGAATTCGTCCCGGAAGTGCGTTTGACTTCCAAAACATTTGGAAACCAAGGTGCAGCTCCTGCAGCCAATCAGAAGCCGCAGAAGCCCTGTCGGACGTTCAGGTTCCAAACAACGTTCGCAAACCAGAAGACTCACTTCTGGGTTTCCGGCATTCGGGAGCCAAAACGTCCAAGTACCAAGGCGTTCGGGACCCAAGGTACGACTGTGCCACCCTTTATCAAAAGATCCCAGGGTGATGTACAGCATTAAAAACACATTACAGAGCACCAATAATGAAAACATAATGAAAAGCATGCTAATAAAATGATAACAACAACAGCCTCCTCCCCCAGCTTTAACAGGCCATAGATTATTTCATGGACAAAGGCCTGGGTAAAGAGGAATGTTTTTGCCTGGCTCCTAAAGGCATGTAACAATGGCGCCAGGCAAGCATCTCTGAGGCATGCTCGCACCATTTTCCGGCATGCCTCTTTTTCCTTTCCTTTTAGATGGGGCAGTTGGGCTGCGTTATACGACATCCACGCAGCAGCCATTTTGTGACTGGCGCCCACAACGCTTTCCCAGGATATGTGCCCACTGGCCCAAAACCGTTTGTAGCCTCTGCTGCAACCCAATACGTGCATGGTGCAACCTGCCATTTAGACACCCATAAAAGAAGGGCTAACTCCATACGGCATCTTCCTTCCCGGCAAAGGTCTCTTTTCAACTTGACTTGGATCGGTTTTGAAAAGAATGTAAGCGATCGTGGTATCCCCTCATTTTCTCTACGTTGCCTTTTTCCTGAAAGACACACACGGTCACGACCAAGACCAAAGTTTGTCCTTTAACTTTATATCGTGAGCTTCACTGAGAAATAAGCAGTGGGGCAGCAGTTCCAGCAGCAGCAGAGAAGAAAGCCCAATTATTCCTCGTCTTCCCTGCTGACGCTACCCTTCCCTTTGGGTGCTGCTAAAAACCCGACCGCGAACATTCAGCAAAGGATTCTTGGCTGCTTAGAGTGTGTCGCCCATCAGCCTCTGTGCCCGGACCATGTTTTGTAGGGCAAGAGCCTCTAGGACAGACACAGAGATGTTCCCATCCAGTAAATATTTCAGACCAAAACCAATTACCCTTCCGAGTAGCGTCTGAGCAACGACAACTCCAATCTGCCAGGTAAGCAAGTTTCCCTAAACTCAGAGAGAGGAACGGAAGCAAAAGAGCTTTTAAAAGGGCGGCTGAGAAAACCACTTTGGAATCATCCAACCCAGAAGAAAATCAGAAGAATTCAGCCGGCAGAGAGATGGCCAGGCCGGGTTGGGGGTTGGGGGGGTGGCAGTGGCGGGTGAGGAGGTGCACTCTGGTCCGCAACACTGAAAGCTTGTGTGTTCTAGGGCACTGGTTTTCAACTGGTGGGTCTGGACCCACTCACTAGTGGCCGCGGCTGGTGCAGGGAGGGTTGCAACAGGAGCCCCACCACCATGCACATATATGGTAAAAGATTAAGAAAAGTTTGACAATGCCCATCCCTTTGTTTCTTCCTAGTTCCCTGAAGTCTGGACACACAAAGCTACTCAGACCACACAGACTCTCTCTCATCCCTGCACCCCAAGACTGTTTTAACTGCTAATAAAAGCTGATTAACTGATTAAGCTGGTTAACTGATAATGAAAGCTGCAGATTCTGCGTGCAAGCCATTCTGCGAGTCAGCTGCAGCCCTAGAACTGAACCTTTGCGGTCTATGCAACGGTGCAATTCTATACCCAGCTTCAGAAGGGAGCCCCACTGAGTTCAACCCGGGTGAGAGGGTTTTCGGTTTCAGGCTGAATCTTGCTAATGGAGCCCATCTAATGCAAAATGGCCCTGTTTATCCCATTTCTAATCACAACGTTTGTGAGGCTTCAGTTAAAACCGCCTCCCAGCTATAATGACCTATGAACCTGTGTGCACAGAGAACTCCAGGCCGTGGCACTGCAAAGGAAGGAGGGAAGGAGGGTATTTTGCAAGCTCCAGAAAAGATGTTGCCTACCCTGTGTAAGTGCTGCTATTACTCGCCTGATGACCATCTTCTCCTCCAAGGGATCAATGCCCATTCTGGCCTGAATGGATGACTAATGTGGCACTTTTGCTTTTTCTTTGAAATATTCATAGCAGGAGAGTGGCTGAGTTACTTAATGGAGCAGAGGAGTCTTCCAAGTACAAAAGAGGGCTTGTCAATAATTTTTTTTTAAAAGAAAAAAGAAAAGAAAACCTAAATAACACTTTCCACTGCTACGGGAGGTTTCATATTTGTCATTGAGAGCCCCCAACCAAAAGCAAGGCAGCCTGGAACCAGCTTGGGCCTTCATTAGTGCAATTAGAAACCGGACAGCTTTCTAACAAGTGGCTGCACCAGGTGCTAGCTCACCTGCGATTAAGAGGGTCTACTGGTCCAGTTGGCAGACCCCACCATGCCTGAACTCTGCTCCAGCTAACCAGCCAGCAACAGTTGTTGATGAAGCCATCGGGTGGGAGGGAAGCCAGTCTTCAATTGAGAACTTCTCTCACACTAATAACAACATTAATAATAATAATAATAAACATCATTTATACCCCACCCATCTGGCTGGGTTTCCCCAGCTACTCTGGGCAGCTCCCAGCAGAATAGTAAAAACACGATAAAACATCACACATTAAAAGCTTCCCTGTACAGGGCTGCCTTCAGATGTCTTCTAAAAGTCAGATAGTTGTTTATCTCCTTGATATCTGATGGGAGGGCGTTCCACAGGGAGGGTGCCACCACCGAGAAGGCCCTCTGCCTGGTTCCCTGTAACTTGGCTTCTTGCAGCGAGGGAACCAGCAGAAGGCCCTCGGCGCTGGACCTCAGTGTCCGGGCAGAACGATGCGGGTGGAGACGCTCCTTCAGGTCTACTGGGCCGAGGCTGTTTAGGGCTTTAAAGGTCAGCACCAACACTTTGAATTGTGCCCGGAAATGTACTGGGAGCCAGAGATGCATTTTAAATAAAAGCACACATTCTACACATGTAAAAACACCCTGATTCCCGGACCGTCCGTGGACCAGATTTAGAAGGGATCCAGCCCCTGGGCCTTAGTTTGCCTTCCCATGTCCTAGGTGGTCAACACTTTGGCAAGGTGCTTGATCAACGAAGCAGTTTCCGTGGCTCATAAGAACAGGTGTAGTCCAGGTTATAGGTTCCACTTTCCCACTAATGACACCCATGCCCTAAACCCTGGTACGAAAATGCTCAACACTTAACTTCACACATTCACCATGCACACAGCTCACCCAAAACATCAGGCCCTGAGTTTGAGGGACTCAGGAAATAGGACCTCTAAGCTGCATAAACCGAATTTATTAGCAACGAACAGTATTGGAACACTAGAACATGGGAAGTTGCTTTATACTGAGCCAGGCATTTGGTCCATCTTGCTCAGTGCTGTCTACACCGACTGGCAGCAGCTCTCCAGGGTTTCAGTCAGGAGGCTCTCCTGGAGCGCGCAGGAACTTGAACTTGGGACCTTCTGCATGCGAAACAGATGCTCTACCTCTGAGCTACAGCCCTTGGAGATGGTATGCCGGTAAATACCATGCTAGGAATCACAGGCAGGGAGAGCACTGCTGTTGGGTTGGCACTGGGACACAATGGCTAGCCTCTGGCACAATTGCTGGACTGGATGGGCCTTTGGCATGATCCCGCAGGACTGCTGTGATGCTCTTTTGACAATCTGATGAAGACGACAAGGCAGTTATTCTCTGAAGTGCCATATGACCCTGTTTTTGTTGCAATGGGAGATTTAACACAGGTGATCATAGCCATGAATTAACTGCCCATCAACAGATTGAACACATTTTCACTGGGCAGTCGAAGAGTTTTGTGAAAGAGGAGTTGTGCTGCCGTTCCCCTGCCCATCCACCCTGATCACCTTGCTCATCACAGGCTTCGAAGCAAGAACCCACAAGGCCGCTTCCAGAGGAGTTGCACCCTGAGAAAACAAGCAACACGTTGTGCGATGCGGCAAAGGGCAGCGAGAGAAGCCTTGCGCTAAATAGCCGAGCTCCTTGTCTTGTTTACTCCTCGCAGCCTTGCTAAGCCATCGTCTCTGGCTGCATTTGGGTCACAGGACGGGGAGAGGCTCAGGAGCTCGACTCGCTTGCTACTCAAGTAGCTGGAGATGCAAAGAGACACGCGGAGAAAGAGGCTAATAGGACATGGCAGCTGAGTTTCCAAAAGTGCTGGTTGCAGGGGTTTTGATTGGGTTTCCCCTCCCCCCATGCAGATTGGGAAAGGCTGGGTGCTTTTTTAAAAAAATAAAAATAAATAGAGGCAAAGTTATCGAATAAAACAGAACAAGGTCAAGCAGGGATTCATATGACAAGTGGCATGAGTCGCAGGCCAGCCAGGGTAGAAATCTGATGTGGTTCAGCCCTGCCACAAGCTTTCATGGCGTGCATGCAAATCCTTCGCACGCCATAGTGTTGCAGAAGTAGTACTGGTGGCACTCATTTGCCACTTTCCACAAAAAAGATGCCCAAAAGCGACCTACAGATTCATGAAACACAAACAGCCTGGCAAACATGAGAAACCAAATATAGGACAACCACAGAACAAGCTAACCCAAATGCTCAGCTATAAAGGAAAGGAGTTTTATATGCCTTTTGTTTATGTTCATGGAGTTTTCTTGGCAGGGATACTGGAGTGGATTGACAGCAGTCATGAAATTAAAAGACGCCTGCTTCTTGGGAGAAAAGCAATGACAAACTTAGACAGCATCTTAAAAAGCAGAGACATCACCTTGCCAACAAAGGTCCGTATAGTTAAAGCTATGGTTTTCCCAGTAGTGATGTATGGAAGTGAGAGCTGGACCATAAAGAAGGCTGATCGCCGAAGAATGGATGCTTTTGAATTCTGGTGCTGGAGGAGACTCTGGAGAGTCCCATGGACTGCAAGAAGATCAAACTGATCCATTCTTAAGGAAATCACCCCAGAGTGCTCACTGGAAGGACAGATCCTGAAGCTGAGGCTCCAAGACTTTGGCCACCTCATGAGAAGAGAAGACTCCCTGGAAAAGACCCTGATGTTGGGAAAGATGGAGGACACAAGGAGAAGGGGACGACAGAGGACGAGATGGTTGGACAGTGTTCTCGAAGCGACCAGCATGAGTTTGACCAAACTGCAGGAGGCAGTGGGAGACAGGAGTGCCTGGCGTGCTCTGGTCCAGGGGGTCACGGAGAGTCGGGCACGACTAAACGACTAAACAACAACAAAGCATGATTCACTGGGTTGTGGGGAATCAGCTGGAGCCATATTAGGCTGCACACACAGACACACAAAAGCTGCTATGGCGTCTCCCCCAAATTTCTACACTTTTAGACTACAACTCCCATCAGCCACAGGAGGTACAGCTGCCTGTGGAGCCCCAGGTGAAGAAGCACACTGCTTTTCAGGCTCAATGTGAACATGTTAAAGGAGGCTGTCCCTTCAAGTAAGTAGCGGTATGAAACGGAGAGAGGAAAAAGGAGAGGAAACTCAACAGGTACCTTTGTTTTCATCCGGGTCCCTGGTCCACAGCTTAAGAAGCGCTGGACTGGCAGGGTAAACAGATTCACAAGGAAGGACAAAGCCCCACAAGATGCAGTCTGTCCCTCTCCAGTTTCTGTGTTTCTGGCTGTTAACCCAGCCAGATCTGGGAGTGATCACAGTGGGAAGGAAACAGAAAAGACCAAGGGCAGTTGCATCTCTCTCTTGCCATGAAACAGAGCATAAAACAAGCTGCCCATACATACACACACACACACACACACACACACACACACTTCCAAAAGAAAGAGGCCTGAACGCAGTGGCCTGGGAATTTACTGCCTGTCACAAGTGGGAGTTTAACATCTTGATTTCACGCTGATATTCTTCATTACTTTTTACAGCCAGATCTCTCTTGTTTATGTGGCCATTGCGGCATTCAGGCACCGGCTAACGCACCTTCGCTCAAAAACGTCTCCAGACAGTGGAGTGAAGAGGAGGAACTGCTCTGCCCCCTAGCCAAGGGTGGCCACTGCAGACACAGCCCCAAGGGGAGAGGCACGCCAGCCTTCCCACGCACCCACAAACAGCCCCCTAACGCTTCCTCAGCGAAGCAGGTACCATATTTTTCGCTCTATAAGACGCACCAGACCACAAGACGCACCTAGTTTTTGGAGGAGGAAAACAAGGAAAAAAAATTCTGAATCTCAGAAGCCAGAACAGCAAGAGGGATCGCTGCGCAGTGAAAGCAGCAATCCCTCTTGCTGTTCTGGCTTCTGTGATAGCTCTGCAGCCTGCATTTGCTACATAAGACGCATACACATTTCCCCTTACTTTTTAGGAAGGAAAAAGTGAGTCTTATAGAGAAAAAAATACGGTACCTATTCCACCTGTCCCCTTATCTTCCATGGTGCTTCCTCATTCCTCTCCAGCTCCTGATGAATGACAGGAGCCCCGATACAAATGCACCCACATGCGCACACACAAAATAGCACTTTTCTTTTAAAAACAACGGCAGAGAGGTAGAAGAAATAAAAGGACACTGGAGGACCAAATCGGTGCAAGGCAGGCCTGGTGCAAAAACGGTGATGGTGGGGGAGAGGAGAGATGCAGCCAGGCTCAAACCAGACGGGATGGTTCTTGGTGGGGGTTTTTCAATGCACACATAGAGAGAAAAGATTGCACGCCTGCTCCGGGTAGCGAGAGAAACACCCGCGTCTTTCTTGCATCCGACTGGCTCTCCACAATGAGCAAAGTTAATAGAAATATCTATCTTTGGTGGTGCAGGAGGCATTTGCATGACAATGGGCCGCCCTGCTCTATTGTTGGGTGGGTTTTATACAGCCGTAGGCCACAGGTGCAATTTGCTCTTTGTTGCACTTGGAGGCATGGGATTGGATTGGGCTGGTTGGGCGTTTAACAGCAGCACACGCTCAGAAACCTCTGCGTACCACGACTACATTGGCACTTGGGTGGCGGGAGAGCATGGTCATACCACACCAGGGATGGGCAAACAGGCCCAGGGTCCAAGTGCAGACCTCCAGGACTCTCTCCGGGCACGCACACCTCAGCGCCTCTGCTTCACAGCCTTCACAAATGTTTCTGCCTGGCTGGAAGATATCCTTGGACTCTGAGAATGACTTCCGCTTGCCTGGGCGGAGAATAGAGAGCGGCTTGTCCGACTGTGCGTAGAAGCTGACCAACTGTACGCTGGTGTAACTGGGATTCGTTGCTCTGCCCACAATTGCATGCGGCCCTTAGAAGGTTGCCCAGAAGGGAATGTGGCCCTCGACCCCTGCCCTACTCAGGAGGACACAGGGAGCGAGGGGGGAAAACAGCGTAGGATACAGCTGGGGAAGGACACTGTTTTGCCAGGACACAAGAGCTGCTGCACGTTAGGTGCTTCCAGGGAGAGAACACAGGCTTGCCCAGTGTTCGAAATTCGCCAGGGGCATTTTGCAGCTGGCTATCGGCCACGTATTAACCAAGTGAGGATTCCCTGGCACCAGAATGGAGGCTGACGTCTCCACCGTCGGGAGGTGCATGCCTGGGGATCCTTGAATCTTGACTGTTTTCACACACTAGCAACGCATCCTGTAGAAATCCATCCATGATATTTTATCTGCACAATCAGAACGAATTTCAGGATCCAAAAATTCATATTGAAAATTACGAATTTCGAGGTGTTTGGCCTAAAAATGGCAACCAGGCATTCCGTTTTGGTGACCGTAACCCCGGTTTAAGGAGCCATTTAGTGCCTAGCTCATATATCTGAGTTTCTAACACTGCCCCTGTTCAATTCAGAAGAAGAAGAAGAGGAGGAGCTTGGATTTTATATCCCACTTTATCACTACCCGAAGGAGTCTCAAAGCAGCTAACATTCTCCTGTCCCTTCCTCCCCCACAACAAACACTCTGTGAGGTGAGTGAGGCTGAGAGACTTCAGAGAAGTATGACTAGCCCAAGGTCACCCAGCAGCTGCATGTGGGGAATCGAACCCAGTTCACCAGATTACAAGTCTACCGCTCTTAACCACTACACCACAATGGCTCTCCAGGAAAGGGTGCGTGGCTTCCTTTAACCAAGTATCAAAGTCAAGGGAGAATCCTCAGGTGCATCTTGTGGGCATTACACACAGACACACGTGTGTGTGTGTGTGTGTGTGTGTATATATATATATATATATATATATGCGCAGCATACTCAACAGGACCAGAATGTATTGCAATAGGCTTACAACAAGTATGACTAAAGCTGGGTATCACCCAGTAGTGCAGAAGAGAGGAGAGGCACACCAGGATATACAGTGGTACCTCGCAAGACGAATGCCTCGCAAGACGGAAAACTCGCAGGACGAAAGAGTTTTTTGTTTTTTGAGTTGCTTCGCAAGACGAATTTCCCTATGGGCTTGCTTCGCAAGACGAAAAACGAAAACGTCTTGCAAGTTTGTTTCCTTTTTCTTAAAACCGTTAATACCCAGGATGCATTGCTTGAAGAGGTGCAGTTGCGACTTGACTTCGAGGAGCAACTCATAGCACGCGGTGTGGTAGC